ATAATATATATAATAAAAATTTACTTATATAAATTTTAAAAAAATCTCACATTAATTTTTAATTATATATTTTAAAATTTATAAAATTAATTTTATAATTCAAATATTATAATAATTGTTAAAAATTTGAAATAGATTGCTAAAAATTATTGCAACATTTATAACAGAGTAAGTCGTAAACTACAAAGAAGAGTTTTGCAAAGAGCGAATTATATATATGGGGGATGGGGGATTTCATACCCTGTATAGGACAGACTAATGCTTTGCTCAAAGAACCGGAAAAAGACAAAGGTGGATAAGAGAAAGTGATCACTTAATGAAGCATAAACTTGTTGACAAGAGAAAGTGATTAAACTAAGGTTAAACCTCTATTTTGGTCCCTCAATTATTGTACGAACTTTCGATTTGGTCTCTCAGCTCAATAAATTCTTGATTTGGTCTTTATTGTTTATCATTTTTACCTCAACTTGGTCCTTCCGTCAAAAAACCAACGATATGTCCCGTTAATTAATGGTTACAATGACATGTTAAAATAGTATGACACGTCAGATGCACACCTGAAAAAAAAAAATTACAACACCACAAAAAAGTGATGACATGGAAAAAAATAATAATATGTCAAAAAAATTAAAAAAATCGTTCTTTTTTTTTTTTCTTCTCTTTTCCATTCTTTTCCCCTGGAATCTAATGCCTACTGGCTTCCTTGGAACCCAGGCATCCTCCTGGTTCGACGCCTGGGTTTGAACAACCCCGACATCCTCCTGGGTAACCTAGGACACCTAGGTTCGTCCGAACCCAAGAGGAACGAACCTAGGAGGACTTCCTTGGAACCCAAGCATCCTCCTGGTTCAACGCTTGGGTTCGGACAATCCAAGCATCCTCCTAGGTTCCAAGGAAGTCCTCCTGGGTTCCTTCCTTTTATTTTGACATGTCATCATGTTTCATTTAGTTAATGGGACATGTCATTGGTTTTTTAATAGAATGATCAAGTTGGGGTAAAAATAGTAAACATCAAGGACTAAATCAAAAAAATTATTGAGTTGAGGGACCAAATCAAGGATCTGTTCAATAATTAAGGGACCAAAATGAAAGTTTAACCTTAAATTAATTACATGGTAAGAGCCAAGTGGACTTGATATCGGGTCAAGTTTTTTTTTTTTTTTGTGCGAATGGGAATGTAGTAATTAATCAAGTCTTAT